TCACAATCTGCGTCTTCTGTTCATCAGAGATATCAATTCACTGTCGATCCAAGGTGGATTCCTCTTGAATGACTTTCTACTGGAGAAAAGAGGGGCCTACTCAATTAGGGAAGTCATTTTGGAGAGCACAAGGTTCCAGACATCATCAAAAAATGAGATCAGGAATACTCCAGTTGATAGCGCTTGCGGCTGTTCTCAGAAGGAGGGGACCCGCATGCCAAAAGATCCGATGACAACCACCTTGGCTATGGATCGTGAAGCGACGTGTCCATTGGAGTGAAACGACGCAATGATCATTTTGCCGATGGGTTAAAAAACTGTTAGATTCGTGACATCTGACTGAGCTGGGGTGAGCACAAGGTCCAGAATGTTTGGCGTTTGGTCGGCAACAATGCGGGTTGGCACGGTGACGTGTTGAAACAAATTACAATCGATAACAGTCCCAAGTAAGGTAGCAGCAAAAGAATCAGGTGGACGACCACAAAGAGGTAAGTCCCACTCGATATTAGAGGCATTAAAACCCCCACGATAAGACTGTCCTTTCGCGTGCCGTGTTTCCTCATAGAATCAAACAAATGAACTCAGGATCCCGATGGCGCTCTGTAGACAACACCAATAGTGTAGGATCTGCATCCATCTAGAATACGGCACCAAAGGGCATCAAAATCACCATCGTCGCCCCTAGTAGCTTCAACCAAATGGGCCTTGAGTTCGGCCTTTCAGTAAAGTATAAAGCCGCCACCGGGCCTACCTCGAAGCCGGTCGGCTCGACAGAGACTGTATCCGGGGATAGAAACATCTGAATCTATGATATCCGCAAAAAGCCAACTTTCGGTAAAGGCCATCAAGTCTGGGCGAGTATCTGACGCAAGCATTTGTACCTCATCAAGTTTATTTCTCAGACTGCGTACATTGGCAAAAATTACACGCAGTCCGTTCTCGTGCTGTAGGGTTCAGGGTCGAGGAGAATTGGCCTCCTCCTGGTTCTCGGGGTTCTCCGGATTATGCGAACATCAACGACGTGGAGGCTGCCTCACCATTCGCTCGGCGGGACCGGAGCTCGTCAGCGGCTGTTTTCATTTTAATACGATCTTCCGGAGAAATTCTCTCAGGACGTAAAAAGGCTCACCTTTCAAACGTGGGGTTCGCCGGAGGATGCGTCGGCATTCCTCTTAGCTTTGGCATACGATCTTAAGAGGGCGTACCTTGGAAGGATCCACTTGATTCCTGTCCAGGCGGAAGGCAGAGATAATGTTTATACCCAACTCACCATCGAATAAAATGGAAATCATTCGCTCAAGGAACCCTTTGTCACCCAGCATCCTTTCTGCAGAGGTGTGCTTGGTGGATTCTGGGGCGTTCACAATAATAAAACATCTTTCACGAGAGGGTGGTAGAGCGCGGCCAGAGATCTGAGGCTGTTGTGACGCACTGTCCTTGATCAACTTTTCTAGCTCGTTGACTTTGTCGAGAACAGATTTCATTTGGGTCTGGGAAGCAGTTTGCTTGGGTTTGGACTTAAACTTCGCCTGACTATTGGCACAGTGGGAGTTTTCCTCACCACGGCAGCGTTTGCCTCAGACGTGGGCTCACTGGGCAAGGCGTGGGTCAAAGATCCTGATTGGGAAGCAGATGGGACACGTCTTCGTTTACCCGTGGGGGTAGTTGAGCCGGAATTAAGTGTGGACGAAAAAGGCGACGAGACAAGAGAGTCCAACGCAGTGGAAGCTTCAAACTTCATTGGAGTAGAATGTGGGCTCAGGACTGGCAGTCCGGCGTGAAGCCGTCGACTATTTACTGAAGTACGGCAGCGGCGAAAGGAAACAGTGGTAGCCGATGTAGTATATCGTTGCAGAGACTCAGCATCCATTCGGCTTCTGCTGACACCCTAGAACGCCACCTTTAAGTGGTCTACTTAATATATTGAAGAACAGCTGGGTCCTTCTAGTCCACACTGGTAGGTTCAGAGTATTGTTTGTTCTAAAACCCAAACCTCGCTTCAGCTACGACCTGTCTTTCCTTACCATAACTCTCCACCACTTAGCTGACTGCTCGGCAGTCACGTTCTACCAATCCCTTAATAAAGATCGGCTTCTGCTACGTAGTTAATCCGGATCTTACCCTCACTGCCCTCTGCATCCATACGGCTTCCTCGGACGACCTAGAATGCGATATTTGCTTGGTTTAGCAAACCTATTAAAGCACCACTGCGTCAACTAATTCTACGATCGTTGATTCATAGTATTGCTTGTTCTGCATCTTACTCCTCGATTCAGCTACGGCTTGTCTTGCTTCACAGTATCCCTACTCCACTTAATTGACCGCTCGACAGTCTAGGTTCCAGTTAACTCGTAACAGCGAGCGGCTTCTCCAAAGTAGTTAATCCGGCTCTTACCCTTACTCTTCTCTGTGTCCATTGGTCTACCTTTGAACGCCGTAGCATGCCAGATCCGAGCGGTCCACCTAAGCTATTGAAGCGCCGATGCCCTATCATTACATACCATTGTTGGTTCATAGGCTGACTTCCTGACTTTTATAAACTATTCCATGGCCACATTGGTTGCACCATCATCTCTCTTCCCATAACTTTGCCTCCATACCTTACATTAATACCCCGTGGACTGCATATCGGAACCATGCTTTTGACCCTTATGCGCATCCCAGTAAATTACACATTGGGCCATGCTTTTCGTTGCATACTTAAAGAGCAGTTTCAGCGTAATATCCGTTGCACATTTTACATCAGTTTGTGTAGCCCAAATGTCTTAAGGTAGGATTTTCACACTGCTTGGTTTCATGACTGTCCTTTTCGGTATTCTCTCTGCCTACTCCTCTCTTTCCCTTTCCTCCGAGGTCCGGAACTATATGGAGATCCGGGATTGGCTTGAGTAATTGTTTCCGTCTTAGATGGGACGAAATAACCAACAGACTTACCTGGACCTCGGCCTTATATCAATACCAACAAACTGCACCCACCCTGCTAGCACAAAAAGGACTTTATAGGCGAAAATGTGTGGTAAAGTCCTTAACCGTCAACTATTAACATGAATCCATGGTTAAGGACTTTGGCGCTCATTTTGAAGGCGAAATTTGTCCTTCCACCGCAGCTGTATTAATTACACAGTGATGGACTTTGCACCTTGTCCAATCATAAATCAAGGTTTGACAGTGGACGACGGACACACCGGCGGAGCATGAACGGTCGTTGACGATTAACCTTGAACGGCGTGGACCAATAGTCGTGCACGCACCACGACGACACGCACGCACACAACTAGGCGGTAACCCGGGTACGCCGCCCCTAGCCGCTACTTCGGTGAGCCGCACCTAGGTGCTACCACGGTACGCGGCACCTGGCCGCTACCCCCCGTACGCCGCACGTATTGGTTACCCACCCAAGCTCGCACACCGCTGGATGAGGATATCAACTCCCTACCTGCGCTGCCCGTTAATAATACTATGTAACGCAAGTATCATATCCGCTTACAAATGCAAGATAAACGTGCGAGTCATAGCTAACCGCTCCTATGACATAATTTCGCTTGCGGCGTAACAAAATGAATGACAGGGAAAAGCGTGGTATCATGGTGCACAGTCTGCTGCCACTGAATGGAGGAAACCATGTTTAACATGACGCACATGAATGGTGCATGCAGTCCCACTAATCATAGTGATGCCTTAATATTTCCGTCCCACTGAGCACAAAGATAGAGGGAATGGAATCCGATCATTTCACAGTAAGAGGTCTGTTTACCGACGTATAGTAGTGGATACATTAATTGCAAGGACATCAATATTGATAACAGAGGTCTTTGTTCCGTTTGAAACCGTTGCCCTCCTTGCATGCTGAAGCCGTGGCAGTCCAAGTCCACCAACTGGGAAACCTTATGTAAGGAATGTTATCAAGTAATCCACCATTTCATACCTGCTGGCTGCTTGCACAACCTTTGGGAGTTTCGAGTCATGCATTGCCACGAGTCGAATTCAAGTATTTCCTTACATATTGTGTAACGTCATCGGGTGACACGTTGCTTCCGGAGAAACGTTTTAATAGAGCAGCTAGGACAAGGATGAAATGGCAAAGATGTTTACATTGCATTTCGGTGAATAGCTTCGTTTTCCGGAATCCGTGTTTGTTGCGGGAACCGGAGTAACTGATCTCCGCCATCAGTGACCGCGTTAGAAGGCGCCGCATCATGAGGCGTACGGTCTCCGACAACGTTTCTCCATGCACACCTTCCAGCTAAGTATGCTGCATGCATATGTGAGGTATCAAAGCATGCTACCAATTGTTGCCTGCGTCCTGCATCCTGCATTAGTATATCGAACGACTGCAGTTCCTCCACCGATGTAATTGGCAAAGGAAGCTGCGTTGCCTGCTGTCCTGGTTGCCCGGTCATTGTTGCAGCCATCGATCTTATGGAACTCTTCATATACACCAGTGTCTCCATAAGTTTCTGAACATTACCCTGTTTTAGAAATGAAGGAAGTTACCATCTACGGACTCCAGTTTATTCCTCATTTGGTCCATATCGCCTGCAGGAAAATGGTAAAACCTCAAGTACATGCTTACGGTGAATTCCATTCCAATTGCTTGTAGGAACGGTGATGAAGGAGGAGTCGGAGGTGGACACTAGGACTAGAACAATCAAGCTACAAAGTGTAAGCATCAACCCGATGCCGTTTTCCGAATCTGTGGGTTCGATTTTTCACCACAGTTAGATGCGGTATTGAACGCTGTAGTTTAACATTAAGAAAAATGTACCCGTTACCTGTATAAGCTGGTTAGTATCCACCCATGTTGTATTGCTGGGAAGACCACTGACGTGGGTTTTACCCATCGAGCGGGCCAACTCAGTTAAAGAACACATAGGTGGAGAGCCATATGGAACGGCAGTGGGAACCATGCGCTTCCTGGGTGGCTCAAAGTCATCGTCGTCCGAAATCAAACGACGTGGCATACGGCTGTGATGAAATGTTATATAGATGTGGCAACTTACATGAGTAAACGTGGGGGTGTGCCCATGTCGAGTGTTGAATCCGTGTCTCCCGGCAGGTTCGAAAGGTCGACGGAGTTCGCTATTGCAGCAGCCTGATCGAAATCCACTGAAGACTTATGACAGCACAGAACTTACTGGATTCGCCGAAGTTTAGTCACACGGGCCAACTTACAGTTCTTGTCCGCCGGCCGGTGTTCTTTCACAGCGTTAAGGTATTCCGAAGGGGGTACGTTTGGTAGCAAGGCTTGCCGACCGTCCCCAAGCAGCCAAAAGCTGCTTATGGTTGTAACCGAGCTTCCGGTGGACGTGCTAAGGGAGACGACGCAATATGTTAACGAAGCCATAACGCTGAAATAGATGACTTATGCAATTCCGTTTGCACAAACACGGATTACGAGAACAATATAATAGCAAAGAAACTTTTAATTAATAAATATTATCTGTACCTTAACCCCCACACCAAAACACCCGTGCTGTCTCCTGAAAAGGTGTGCCGTTGAATGCATTGCCATTGAAAACCTGTCAACGTGTGTAAGATAATGGGCATGTTACCTGCGTCGGTGTTGGTAAAGGCCATTCCATGTCGTTCATATTGTTTTACATCGTATATCGAGTGCTTGCCAACGCAGAGCTTTGCCAGTAAGAGTGCATTCAGTGCCCTGTGGTTTGCCATTCTGCTGCACATAGACGTATTCACTCTGTTAACAGCCCCTCATATGCCTATCGGCCGAATACAGTTACGATCTTGTACCCCCGTTCCGATGTTGCATCGTACCGCATCAGCCACGCTTGCCCAAAACAGTATTGATATGGAACCACCGTATGAGGATGTACCGTCCCTCATTAGGTGAAGTGAATACATGTGTCTGATGGACGCCCCGCGATCATACTGCATCCTACTCCATGAAGGGACCTCGTATAACAGGATAAGTGCAACCCGTTGAGAAAGAATCCCCAGTCATCAGGTAAATAAGAAATTAAAAATCAGTCCAAGTAAATAAAAAATAAGCATAGCCATTAAAACAAATAGTCAGGAAATGAATAAAAAAACACAAGTAGATCAAAGTGAAAATGAACATTTAGGGACCCTGAACATGCACAATGCTTCACGTATTACCATCCGGAGTTCTAAAGGTGTGCAACAGGGGGACAATAGCTAAGAAGTCATTAACAGAGAAGCACACACATTTGCAAAGTATATCACCCACACGGAATGATTGGAGGTCATCGCTAATGCCTGAGGCTGCAAGTATGTTGCAAAAGGAAGAAGGTATCCGGAGATGGTACAACGCATGCACGCCTGTGAAAGGTTTACAAACAATGGTCTCACTTTCTGAGCCCATATGGTCAAACCGGACAATGCGATACGGGTAATCAGATACGATGATCACGTTATCAGGTGCGCTGCATGCATACGTTATAACATCCAGTATCAACAGTTCACGAAGTGTTAATGCACGATGTTGTATGCGAGTAAGCTGAGGTTCAGCCCAATGCGAGAAATTGGAGACGTCCACATATTCCAAGCACCGTCTCACAATCTGCGCCGCGGGAGTTCGTGCGTTTCGCACTACTCGCTTCAGGACGCCTATATAAGACTCGAACGGAAATGCGGAGAACTCATCAAGGGTTCCATGCACATCCACATCCAATGCTAGGTGACTTAGGCAGTGAACATTGTACGTCATCTTGTCTTTCCCGTACAGGCGGTAGTACCCGTGTATGAAATTAAGCAGCAACCGTTTCGCGAAAGACCAGTAATGCCTATGCAAGAGCGGGTGACAGAAGAGGTTTATTCCCAGATGAAGGTGTAAAAAGTTGTCGTAATAATCTCCCGGTAGCACGTTTATCAACCTTACAGGCGCGGCGTATAAAATAAACTGCATAAATTCAACGGCTTTCCAACCTTTAAACATAGATATACCTCTGCAACGCCTATGGAAATCACATGGCCATGCAGTCGTATTTTGTAGCAATAAGTGAGCTATTGCACGCAATGCGATCCGCGTCCCTGCAGCTAAGTGATTGCTCCGCTTCCAATTCTGATGATGAAACCAATACACCACTAGCAATGATTGGCCCTGCCATTGTACTCCGCTGCCCTACCGCATTCTGCAGGCTTCCTTGTAACTGCATGTCATTCGTGCACAAACGCCCTGTTGCTTCTTATATGAGGTAACGAGCAATAACATAGGGAGGTTGGAACTTACCGGTGTATGGCAACGGTTCACATATTGTGCGCTTTGAGATCTCATTTTCTGTGCGCTCCACAGAAAAACCCTTTGATCAATTTGTCCGGGACGCCTTTTCGCGCGGAAATATCGATCCCGCAAAGTGCGGTCACTGGGCAGCATGAAAGCCCATTGTCGGTTTGTACACCGAGGTCTCATTAATAATGCTGAACATAAAACGTTACGTTTACCGTGCCCACGTTTATTTAAAAGGACCCGGATGAGCGAAAACACGGATACGTCTAGCAATATCGTCACCGATATTACTAAGAGAATGCGTCCTGCAAAAGAGAACAGAACCTCACAGTGAAGCTACCTATGTAGAGCAGGAGTAATTGCGCAAGTAAAGATTAGAGTGCCCAAACTGTGCGTTATGGCGATAGCACCTATAGGTGCCCTATAGGGCAAAGCAATGGCAACGATTGGGAAATAATACCAAGGTAAACAAATTATGATTGCAATATTATAACCAAAACACTTGCGGTGCTACTTATATATAACAAACGTCGAAACGGCATCTTACCAACTCAAACTTGTTTATCAACTATCAAAAATGCACAACGAAAAAGGAAGCGCACTACGGGGAAGCAGGATTGGTAACCAAACAGAGCAATGCCAGCGGTACCTGAAAATTTAAAAGCGCGGCAAAATTCAAAAGGAGGGAAGATGATCCTTTCTAAGAAATCACGTACGACTCTTCGACAGAATAAAGCGGGTAAACAATGTTATCATTATTTATCAGTTAACGTAACCTACGCACATATGCGCACCCCTTGCTAAACTGCGGAGTAGATCAAGTGGACACAAATAAATTACTGAAGGATTTTGATGGACCTTTGAGGGACTTTGACGACCGAAAATAGGACTTTATGTGCTAGCTAGGCAACGACTCAACGACTGATGTCCAGTGAGGATAGCTGAAAACGAAGTTCACACACTAGCAAGTATTCAAAAATAGAAAGCGAGACCAAGATGCTCTAGTAAATTTACGTTTTTGCACAATTATTCATCCTACTCGAACGACCTCAATATCTATGGCGGGCACTGAGTGAGATATTTGATCAGCCAACAGGGAAGTCATTCGACTGCGAATAACTGAGTGAACAAATGGTTGATAAGAGGCTTTGTTATATTTACATGACCAATTAAAGCAATCGAGGACAGTGTTCGAGGACGTGGTGCCTTTTTGCCTAGCAAGCGTTCTCCCTACAGAAGCCATAATAGTCCGTTTATCAACATTGCAAATTGGCGGATGTGACTCTGCACTGAGTAAAGTCACTGCCCAACAATACACACTGGCAGTTTGAATAGAGACATTTTACGCTATTTTCTTAACACCTAAAACAATGACACTCGCAGTATTCACGTGTTAGCATCACATTGCCTTGTGTGCTTTTCGTGTTTACTCTACGCACACACGAATGCAGTTCAACGTCACCACGCAGGCTATTTTGCCCTCCTGAATCCTTCTTCCGTTAATGCAAGTTGTAGAAGTTTTGGTTACAGCCAAATACATGCATTGTAACGTAGCTGTTAGGCAACATAATTTATGTAATCTTTTGATAATGCCTGATATCGTGTGCCACAAAGAATTCGAGAATAAAAATATTTACTTATTTATTTACTGACGTATATAAATCCGGAAAGTTACTGCCTCAACTTGGAAGTAAGAAAAAATGCTTCCAACAGAGCTTTGGTGCCCAAAATCCGCAGGAACTTTGTGCATAGGAGCAACAAAGAGAAGCAAGGGAGCTAATAAATTTCGTGAATCTACCGATACTTAAGTATTTTGATCCAAATAGTCGCAAGACAGGCAGAAAGTAAGAGAAACAGGTCATACTGAGCTAGACCAAGGCGGTGTGCAGAGATTCAAAGTCAGGATGAGGCGAAATTAATGGAAGTGTAAGCACGATGGTTAGCACGGTACACGCGGAGATATCTTGGAAAAATAGTGACAAAGAGCCTTAGCGCGGTCAGGGAAAGCAAAACTAGTGGAAGGTCCGTTGTAGACCAGGCATTCAGGCCTGCACCGTCTGCAGGTGGTAAGAAATTCGAACAATGATGATGAACAATGATCTATAACGCTAAAAAAGTAGTTGCTTGATATGTCCCGTAGGGTGATTAGCGTGAAAAAAGGATAGGTCAAGGGATAATGAGATCTTCAGTTCGGGCGATTACAGCTTTAACTGCACTGCCGTATAAAATTAGTTGGAAATGAGAATGTACGCACACAAAGCAATAAGTGGAGTGGTTATTGATCACATAATAGGTGGGAAAAAAGGTGGCAAGGCAAAGTTTACTCTTGTGCAACTATCTTGGGTCGAAATGTTACAGAAATCCAGTTTCTATAGTTATAGCGTTTATAGAATATAGTGCAAGGGGTTTGGAGTGACCCATTCTCGAGTAGGGTTGTGGCACTATCCAAGGTCTGTTGTGTATTAGTGCCAGGATCTGGTGGTCATGGGCTATAGCACATAGTGTAAATGTAACAGAGCATTGTCAAGGTCTTTTTTGAAAAGGGATAGGGGGTGCATTAATTACATGTTCCGGGAGGGAGTTCCGAGGCTGTAACACTCGAAGGGAGAAATAGTTTCGCCGACCTTCCAGGCGACTGTACTGCGTGACTAACTTAAACTGTAGACCTCTTAGCGGGGTATTTTGACTGAGTATTAAAAGGGAATGACATGGGTGGTTAGGGGTCCTCAGGATCTGGTACACCATTATGAGATCGCCCCTTAGACGCCGATAACGTCCACTGTATATTTTGAGGGTCTTCAGCCTCAGTGGGTAGGGGAGGCTGGTCAAACATCTGAAGCTTTTTGTTGCCCCACGTTGTGCAGTATCGAGCACAGTGAGATGGTGCTTGAGCCAGGGTTGCCAAGCTTGAATAGTGTATTCCACTTGCAGCCTCACGTACGCACTAAGCATTTTTGGAGAGCCTAAAGGGTCAAACTTTCCGAAAGCTCTGCGAAGAAGGCTGAGGTACTGGTTTGCTTTCGTAGCTGCCTTTTCAGTATGCCTCAAACAACCGAGGTCAACTTGAACTAATACGCCGAGATCCCACTCGTGGAAGCCCGC